CCCTTCTCTCCCTCCCATCTTTCCTCTCTCTGTGTTTATTTTCTGGGTTTTTTTTCCTCCTCTCTTCTTCTTCCTTTCTTCTCTTCATCTTCCTTCTCTCCTCTCCTTCTCATACTTTTCTTTCTCCTTCCTCCTCCTTCTTTCGCTTCCCTTGAACCCCCAACCGCTCTCATCTTTCCTTTTGCCGCCTGTTTCCTATCCTCTACTCTTCTTCCTCTCACATATCCTCCTCCCGCTCCTACCTTTTCTTACACCTCCTCTCCTTCCCTTGTTCGAATCTTATTCACAAGAAAGAGGGTCTTTTCGTATACCTCTCTGCCTTTGTCTGCTCTAATAATTGATGGAAACAAAAATTTTTTTTATTCGCTAACCTTACTAGAGTTTATGAAACCAGCCATTCCATTACTCCCATCCAGATACAACTGTTCTTCTCGAGAACAACAAGAAAACACAATGTTTGTCTCTTTTTTTGTTGTTCCGCCAAGTAAAACAAACATGAATGCAACCAAACAAGCGAGAACCTTCCCGAGGTCTCACACAATTCCTCCTCTTTGTTCTCTCTCTTTGCTAATACATAAGAAAACATGAATAGGAAAAACAAGTAGTAAGTAGTAATGATAGTAGTGTTGTTTTTGTGGGATGAAAACTCGGAGGGAGGGAGAGGGGGGGGGGGGGGGTATCAATCATCCAAGTATGTAAAAATCCTCCAACCCAGTCCGTTTGGTACGAAGAGTTGTATTCAAGACTGCCATCCCCATATGAGAGAAGAAAGGAATCGACCAACCGGTTCAACACTGGCAAGCATTCGATCCAGTGACGCCGCAATAGTCGAAGACATGGCTGCGGTGGACATGTCGTCACTGGCAGGGCCGGCTGCAGCTGTGGTGTCACCCGTGTTGGCAGAACGAGGTAGTAGCCGTGACTCTTCCCGTATAGAATGAATGGGAGAAGAAGAAGGAGAAGGCGAAGGAGGGGAGGATAAGGGAGAAGGAGAAGGAGAAGAAGAAGAAGAAGGAGAAGGAGAAGAAGGAGAAGAAGGAGAAGGAGAAGAAATAAGAGATATAGGAGAGCAAGGGAGCAAAGTCTTTGCTTCCTCCCGTACGAAAGTGTCGTCAAAGAGTGGAAGGGTTGGTGGCGGCTGAGCGGTCCGTACGATAGAAATGCCGTCACCAAGACAGCGTGAAGAAGGCGGCGGCGAGATGAGGGCTGATGCGCTTCTGTCTTGGGGAGACAGATATCGAAGCAGGTTGAAACCTTGTATCCGTCCCCAGATCCCATCTGGCTCTAGCTTCCGCTTCTGCTGCTGCTGCTGGGAGTAACGCTCCACAGCGGTGGCGGCGGCGGCGGCGACGGCAGGATGCCGAAGCGACGGGTGGAGAAGGGGCGAGTATGGGTACGCTCGCGGCGGAAGCGACCGTGCCTAGCCAGCCGTGCCCTGGCCAGCGACACCGTACTAGATGCCGCCGCCAGGGTACGCACTTCCCGGCACAGTACCCGCAGGCGGCATACGCCCTCCACCCGTCCCGGGCTTGCTTGCGCCTGCACCGCCGGGAAGCTGGAAATCCGGATTGTCCAGCAGCATATCCTGTCTCTGCTGCTGGGCGGGCACGGGTCTCCGGGGGGGTATGCCGCCGCCGCCGCCGCCATAGTTCAAGGGCGGAGGTGCTTGGGCGGGGCCGAGACCGCTGGGGCCCGGACCACCACCGTTCCAGTACGGGTTTATGCCCCGTTGAGAGATGGAGGTGAAAGTGGATCTCTCAGACTCCGCGGGGCTGCGGGCCCCGTTGTTGAGGGCGTGCACGTCCTCGTCGTAGCCCACCGCCTGCGGGGGTCGCTGGGACTGCTGCGGGGGTTGTCGGTCGAGGTTTGGTGATGATTGGAATCGGGGGTCTACGTCTTCGTAGTAGTTTCCTGATCCGCTCCGGACGAGGTTGCCCGTCGGCTGCTGGACGTTGAGTGGCGAGGCGGTGCGGTCTTGCTGGGTCCACCCTGTGCGGGCGGGGTGGAATTGACTATTTTTTTTGTTAGGAAGGTGAGGGGAGGGCAAAGACGGAGAGGTGGGAGGATGGGTTGAGCCTACTCATCAGTGCTGTACCGGCTTCCGTCACTCATATAAGTGTTATGCCTATCGAGCGGCCTCCCCTGCTGCAGCCCCACCATGCCGACAACGTCCGAGTCACTTTCGCGCAGTGCACCGTTGTACGGTGTATACTCCCTCTTCGGCGGGGCAGGTGTGGCATCCATCTCTACGGGACCGCCATCGTTGGCAGCAGCAACGGGGGGGACTTCGTCGCGAAGGTTGCCGGCTGCCACAACGCCGACGCCGTCGCCCATGGCAGGTGGGGACTCTGCGCGGGGCAGGTCTGGTGCTCGTGCGTCGGGGTTGTACGGCTCGTAGTTGCTGCTGCTGTTGGAGAACGACTGCGGGAGGGCACCGCCGACGACGGCCCCGGCCCCGGCCCCGGCCCCGACCGCCGCAGCCGGGACCAGGTTGCTGGCGGAGTTGTAGTCGTCGGCAGAGGCTTGCCGCGAGCCCGAACCGGGGCCGTAGGGGTCTGCAGTCGGTTGCCGCCGGCTGTCGTAATAGCCGGGACCGGGAGGGGGCGGGGTCGGGCCGCCGCCGTAACCACCCCTGCTCCTCCCGTATCCACCTCTGGTAGGGGGTCCGTATCCGCCACGCCCGCGCATGGGGTAGCCACCTCCTCTGCCGGGAGGGCCGTAGCCTCCTCGTCCACGCATGGGAGGGGCGCCGCCGGCATACGTGTCATAGCCGCCGCGGCCGCCGCCGCCACCGCCGTAGCCGCCACCACCATAAGGGCCGCCACGTCCACGATAGCCGTTCTGGAGAGGCGGGCCTCTGGTGGGATTCCTGGCAACGCCATAGGCGCCGGCATCGTTGATGGGGTTGCCGTAACGGTCGGCACGGGGGGGTGTCCTGGAGAGGTCGGTGGCAGAGACGCTGCCCTGGGGGCCCGAGGTAGACGAGGGCTTCCGGGTCAGGGGCACGCGCTCGTCGCTGACCTGATCGTCCTTCTTCTGGTCCTCAAAGGTAGCAAAGGCGGGGAGGTTGTCGCCGGTGGCGGAGGTGTTCGTGACAGTGCCGATGAGGGGGATGGCGGCCGGTGCCATGGGATCGACGGGCTTGGCAGCCTCGTTGCTGTAGTAGGTCTGACCATTCATCTCGTCGTTCTCGACCACGAGCTTGCGGCGGTTCTTGCGGCTGATGAGGGAGCGGCGCATGGCGCAGGTGACGACGGCGCTGAGGATGACCATGATGGTGGAGGCCAGGACAATCCAGGAGCCCCAGGCGATGTTGGGGACGAACATGAGGACGTCGATGAGGAAGGCGGCCAGGCAGACGAGGATGGTGATGATGGTGAAGATGAAGAAGGCGAGCAGGAACCTGGACGAGTGGGCCGGGGCGTGGAAGTGGGAGCTGATGGCCATGATGAGCATGACGAGGACCAGGCCGGCGGCGACGGGGTGCAGGATCAGGACGGCCGAGAGGGTCTCGCGCACGCCGGTGGGCAGGTCAAAGGCGTCATCGTTGCTGGAGAGGGTGTCACCCAGGTCCTTGTAGCCGATGCCGATGCTGCTGCACTTGTCGTCGGCGTCGCAATAGCCGAACACGCCAAACTTGTAGCCGTTGAACTCGCCCAGCGGTATCTGCTTGATGACGGGTGTCGATATGACGGCCAGCACGAGGAGGCCCAATGCCACGGCCAGAAGCACCGACAGGGGCGTCGACGGGCGCAGTCTCATGATGGCGCCCAGCAGAAGAGAGAAGTCGGGGGGGAGGGGTTCGGCGCGCCCCTAGGCGACGCTGTCGACGAGCGTCTCTTCCGACGGATGGGAAAGAAAAAAAAGAAACGGGTCCGGTGTCCTTACCGATCCTGGTACTACGGCGACATTGGAGATGAAAACGATGCTTGCTCGGATGTGATGGTGATTAAGCGTATCGTGTGAAAAGCGTCATGGCGTCGCGTGCGAGCGAAAGATGTGCGACGTCTGGGTAGATTAACGAGAGAAGGCTGGACGGCGAGGTTGTTGTCGAGATGAAAGAGAGGGAGGATAAGGAGAGAAGACGGAATGATGGTGGGAGGAGACGGAAAAGGAAACAAACGACGAGCGTGTGTCGTCGGTCGGTCGGTCGGTGGCTGTCTGTGACTGCGTTACCAAATCTTGGAACGATGAAAGGAGGGGGGATGTGCGGGTGAGATGTGGGAGCGAGTAAGACCAGCTGGGACGCGGGAGGGAGGAAGAGAGAAGGCGCAGCAAGATTGATAGATTATGCACGGGCAGGTTGGGTGGGAGGGCCCTGTACGGGTAGCGTAGCAGATAGTCTGGGTATTACCGAATGCAGGTCGGTTGATACTACATGTATTTTATTACTGCGTCGTACGGAGTAGAGTACGGGTAGTAGCGTCACTACTCACTATGAGAGGACGAGCCCTCGAGCTATACAGATTGGTCTGAGACGTCCTAGAAGAGGATCATAACTGGATCAGAATGGATTATTACCTCCACTATTATCCTGGTAACCTGGCCATGGAAGATTGATGGGGCCGCAGTGGATAAACTCGAATGCGGCGGGGGGGCTCTGTGCTGGACGCTGTCGGTGCAGCCAATAGGGGATGTGGTTCGATGGGAGCAAGGTTGGCGATAGCGAGTGCGAGTATGGCGACTTGACAAGCTTGGGGGCACAACGGTGGTATACCGCCGCATAGTACGACCTCGCACCTTTCCGTATCACAACCTTGGCGAGAAGCACGCCTCCGGTGGGAACGCGGAGCGTTGAGGATCACTGGTCCGCGAGGGAGTTCACTGGGACGCTCACCGGGCTCCGTTGGCTGGGTCCCATCGAAAGCTGGCTGGGAGTCTGGGACAGAGGGGTTGAGAGACGAGACGGGCGGGGCGGGGCGCTAGAGCAAGGTCCAACGGCGTCTATTACAGAACTCTACAGCAGACTCGAGTACACATTGCAGATTAGCGGGAACCTCTACTCGTACATGTGCCCGTACCTACATACGGTATCAGCTAGTACGGGTACACAGATTACATACCCGTGATTACGTGCTATCATATGCATGCGGTACCTCTAGGCATGTACGCATCACACGAGGTAATGCCCACTGGCTACTGGCTACCAAGGTCCACCTACAGGCTGTTCATTACTGCTTACACCACTGTAAGGCCTGTAAGGCTAAGCTACGGAAGATTACGTCGTACCTTCCTAGACAGGGTGGAAGGACCGTTGTCATGTGAAGAGGAAGGACATGGAAATATCCAATCGACTCTCCTCTTCTCTTTCCAATCTTCTTCTTATTCTACCCGTACTCATCCTTACCTGGTGCAGATATATCCATACTTGCGGTATAGCAATGATCTAACTCCATCGAATCCACCCATCAGACCAGCTTACGACGATGATGCCCTGTGACTTATCACCTGCGACCTGCTGCTTCTCCAACTCCTACTGATACTTGGACTGATACTGATCGATTGTCTCAAGTGCACGTAATGCGCTCTCAGCCACCACCCCTACCCCCGACCCGCTGTAAAGACCCCATTGTACATTTCTCTCTATCCCCTCCAATCTTCTGCACCCCTCTCTCTCTCTTTGCAAGTCTTTGCAGTCTTTGCAGCCTTGCCCTTTCTGACGAGTCTCCATCTAGAATTCTAGGTTGTGCCCATGCAAGACGCGATTTTGGCCAGTCAGAACAGTTCGACCTACTACGAAGTAATAGTAATTACGAGCAATAGTGCAACGCCCGACCATGGTTCGAACTCACATTCGCTCGGATGAGAATACGAGTACCTCGATACGCGCCAATGACCCTTGATCCCTAAAACCCCATGGCAACTGGTCAAATAACTGGTCAAATAACTTTCTCTCTTCCCAAAAGCTTGGAACAGCGGCGAGACACGACGACAGGCCCGAGACACGGTCATGTCAGCTTGACCAGACACGCATAACTGTCAGAGGATGGGGTCTTTTTGGTTCTTCCCTCCCCCCCCTTTTTTTCTTTCTTTTTTTTCTTTTTTCTCCTCTTCTTTCCTTTTCCTGTTCGTTTGTCGATCCTTACTGAATCGATATTGACATCCAGCCATGCTCATGCATCCAAACAGTCTATCCCGTTGTCCAAACGTCCGGCATCCCTTCATTCTATCCACCTTTCTTGTCCAACCGAGCTTGTGGGTGTTTAAACTTTCCATCCCGTTTCCGGGCGTTTCTTCCACTAAGATAAATTCGAGTGCATGCAACGTACGACAACCCACATAGACACAAGTGCGGCTGGGATTCGCTTACACTCTGGCTCGTTGATGGGACGTTGCCAGCAAGAAGGACCGGAACTCTACTCGAGTGTGCACGCGAATCCTGATTGTGCAGAGTGATATTGCCGACACATGTACCGACCAATTCAGCCCTCTCTAGTACTGAGCTGGACGCAGTAATAATACGCCAAAACTTAACCTTGGCTCATCTCATCTACTCATCTGTAACCGATGCACGACACGCCACAACATTTCTTAGCTGACAAGGCTGGCGAAGCTGGACACTCGCGAGACTCACGAGACTCGCTGGAGATGAACCCGTCTCCCAGTCAGACGGCGTCCCGGCCAGACGGCGTCCTGAGCAGACGGCCAGACGGCCAGACGGCCAGACGACCGGACAACCATTCTGAATCCGTTCCAGCCGACGGCGACCCCCACTCGGCACGTTGTATCCACGACAACGATCCATCATGATTCATATCTGATTCTCATCTGTGATTCCAAATTTGAAATCTCAACATAGGGTCTTGCGAGACACGCGACCGACGACATGCGAGACACACACATGTAATGATATCATATTCTCTGTCGGTGAAGGACTCCCACCTGGGTGACCTGTACGACGGAATGAATGTGTCTACTGCCATCAGTAGGCAGTCCATGTGGTCCGGATAACGTCTTCCGTCCTTTACTTTTTCTCCTTCTACCTACTTGCCGATCTTCTTCCCCGTCTTGCTCTCTTTTTGTTCTATCCTTCTTCCCGCCCTCCCCCCCTTTTTTTCTTGGGTGGCTAGTATCAGCGGTGACGTACATATAATTAGCGTTTACACTCATTGCTAACCTCGGCTTTCATTGTCACGCTTCCTCGTTTTGAGGTAATGAACGACTTCTGCAGCAATGAGGGGAAAGGACGATCACCGGCAGTAATCTATCATATCAATTGGCCATAGATGTCGATAATGCTGTAGGAATACAGACATTAGCATCAAACACGTGATTGACTATAGTCCTGCCCCTGGTTTACCCCTCGTCAGAGTGAGAGACTGTTCAAAGCAAAGATATTCCATCTTGGGAGCATCATCTTACAAGAAATCAACAATAGCTATATTATATAAGAAGAGGGCAGCAGAGAGAAAGACAGCAAAAGAAGAAGAGAGGATCGAGAAGAAAAGAAAGGCAGGAGATGGCAAACGACACCCCCCCTCCCATCGTCCCCCTCTCCGAACCACCATGGCTCAACGGCTCGCCATCGCCATACTACGACTCGTCCCACCACAGACTCCAGTCCGCCTGCCGCGACTTCATCGGGCGCAACCTCAACCGCCACGCGCTGGAGTGGGAGACGGCAGAGGACGTCCCCGCCCACGTGTACGCTGATTTTGCCCGCGGGAACTTCATCCTGCCTGCTCTGCCTTGTCCCCTGCCGGTCGAGTGGCTTCGCCGCGTGGGCGTCACCCGTATGCCGGGGGATATCCCGGTTGAAGAGTGGACATCGGTCCACGGCATGATTTATGCAGACGAGGTTAGTATTTCACTGTCCCCTGTAGAAGAAGAGATCATCCTCTCCAGGCATGGTTATTGATCAGGGAGAGAAGAAAAAGAGGGGGAAGAAAGAAATAAAATAAAAAATAAAATAAAAGCAAGGGTCTGCCTGAAGGGGGGAGGGAAAGGAAAGGTGATTGACTTCGATTGTGTCCTAGATGAGTCGAGCTGGACTTGCTGGCCCGTCCGGTGCGATAACGGCCGGAATGGCATTCGGCGTCCCGCCCCTGGTGCACTTTGCCAGTCGTCAGCTGCAGGAGAGATATCTACCTGATCTCTTGCTAGGTAAGACGCGAACGTGTATTGCCATAACGGAGCCGGAGTGAGTAATGTCTTCTTCAGTCCCGACAATACCACATACGCACACACACATGCATGCACATCGGCTTCAATGCTGTAGCGTATTATATCACCGCGTCGGTGGCATCCCATGTACTGATGTCTCCACACCAGAGCCGGATCAGATGTGGCCAACATCACGACGACGGCGCAGATATCCCCCTGCGGCAGGTCTTACGTCGTCAACGGGGCCAAGAAGTGGATCACGAACGGCATGTGGGCCGACGTGGCCGTGACGGCGGTGCGCACCGGCGACCCGGACTCCGGGGCGAAGGGCATCTCCCTGCTCGTCGTCCCCCTCGGCGAGGATCACAAGGGTGTGTCCCGTCGCCGGATCAAGGTGGGCGGGCAGGTCTCGGCGGGCACGACGTACATTGAATTCGACGACGTGCACGTGCCGCGGGAGAACCTAGTGGGCGAGGAGGGCCAGGGCATGAGGTACATCATGACCAACTTCAACCACGAGCGCATGTTTATATCAGTCGGGGTGACGAGGCAGGCGCGTGTGGCGCTCAGCTCTGCCTTTGAGTATTGCATGAAGCGTGAGGCTTTTGGAAAGGTGATTACGCCTCTTATTCTCTCTCTCTCTCTCTTCTTTCTATCTCGCAGGCATGTATATATATATATATACAGTTGCACCCCGTGTGTATTGCGGTGTAGACATGGCTGATTGGCATGACCCAGACCCTNCGGGGTGACGAGGCAGGCGCGTGTGGCGCTCAGCTCTGCCTTTGAGTATTGCATGAAGCGTGAGGCTTTTGGAAAGGTGATTACGCCTCTTATTCCCTCTCTCCCTCTCTCCTTTCTATCTCGCAGGCATGTATATATATATATATACAGTTGCACCCCGTGTGTATTGCGGTGTAGACATGGCTGATTGGCATGACCCAGACCCTCATGGACCAACCCGTCGTCCGTCACCGTCTGGCCAAGTGTGCCGCCATCCTCGAATCCCAGCAGACCTGGGTGGAGTCGTTTGCCTACCAGCTCGCCCACCTTTCCAAGGCCGAGGCGGACAGGCAGCTGGGCGGCCTGACGGCCCTGTGCAAGGCCAACGCGGGCATCGTGCTGGATGAGTGTGCCAGGTGTGCCGTCCTCTTGTTTGGGGGCAACGGCTTCACCCGCTCAGGGCAGGGCGAGATTGCAGAGAGTATGTTCTTCCTCCTTTCCGCCCCTCCTACCTCTTCACCTGTCCATCTTTTGTCAGATCCCTTCCCACGCGAATATTACGTAGGACACGTTAGAGCTGACCTCGGTCTGTGTGTCCCGCAGAGATCTATCGTGACGTACCCGGTGCCAGGATCCCAGGTGGTTCCGAAGATGTTCTCCTCGACCTGGCTATTCGGCAGATGGTCAAGAACTTCAGGCAGAAGACGGAACAGACTTCCAAGAACGATTCTCGGTTATAATTGCGGGGTCGGTCACTCCTGTTGTAGAGCGATAGTAAGAAGAGGAGAGAGAAGAGGAAGAGAAGAGGAAGAAAAACAAGAGAAAGCATTATAAGCATACGATATAATACTATGATGAGGCAACAGGAAGCTTTTGAGATACTGTATAGGGTAGGCTTTTTCGGTTGGCACATTACATCAGATTCAAACACACACACACACACGATATTACAGGTTACAACGATAAAGTCCCATCCCATCATTCTGAATACACACGCTGTGAATAGACACTCCATTATTGCATTAGGCGAATGTCAGTCAGGCTAATCCGTATAGCCAGACTACATAATGTACACAGAAAACAACGAAGGAGAAAAACAATGGAACAGAGCACGTTACAGCCACTGCTTACAAGTCCAGCTGGTTTCGGTCTTCAGTCCAGCAATGTCCGGTTAGCTCCGTGGATCTCACACGACTAGACCAATCTTCTCTTCTTCTTTGGCTCGTTCTCAACTCCGTCATAGCCCCGACATCCATCCGACCGCCGTCTGACCACCTGTCCCGCTCTCTCTTTTGTTTTATCTTACGTTCCAGCCGAAGATCCATCCTCCTGCTCTGCCATATCCACCACCAGCCCAAAGCGTTCGACACAAGTTTTTCTTCTTTTTTTCCCTTCTCTTCTCTTCCTCTTCTTTCTACCCCCCCCCGCCTCAACCATGTTCGGGGCCGCCTCGTCGTCGCCGTCGTCGTCACGGCGGTCGACGACGCTGCTACGCGCAGCGGGGCGATGCACCCGGGCATCGGCGACGGCAGCACCGCGACGACACCTCCGGACCGGCGGCGGAGGCACGCCCTTCCAGCCAATGCGACCGCCCTCGCCGAGCGAGCTGGGCGCCCCTCGGGCGGCCAGGCAGTACAAGCGCAGCGGGAGGTGGGCGCGGCGGCTCCTCTACGTGGCCGGCGCGGGCGGGGCGCTGTACGCGGTGGACAGGCAGGTGTACGCGTCGGGAATGACGCGGTCCCTGCGCACGTTCGCGACCGGCCTCGTCATAGCGGTCGACTACAAGCTCAACTTCCGGCCGGACCCGTGGGTGGGCGGGGACGTGCAGGACCTGCACGGGCGCAGCGCGCGGCGCATCTTCGACCTGCTGCAGGCCAACAGCGGGCTGTACCTCAAGATCGGGCAGGCCGTGGCCATGCAGAGCGCCGTGCTGCCGCCCGAGTTCCAGCGCATGTTTGCGCGCATGTTCGACGACGCGCCGCAGGACGGCTGGGCCGACGTCGAGGCCGTGATACGCGAGGAGTTTGGCGGGCGGTCGGCCGAGGAGGTCTTTGGCGTCAGCTTCACCGGTAGACCCGGGTCGGGACTCATGGAGAAGAGGGCCAGGGCGAGCGCCAGCGTCGCCCAGGTGCACTGGGCCAGACTGCCCGACGGCAGGGAGGTGGCCGTCAAGATCCAGAAGAGGGAGGTCAGCAGGCAGCTCGACTGGGACATGTGGGCGTTCAGGTAAGCCACTGCCACCACCGCCGACACCGCCATCGCAGGCCATGCAGCCCGAAGTCGTGAGGTTTCCGCAGCGTACTGATCTCTCAAGCGGCACAGGACCGTCACGTGGATCTACTCCAAGTGGTTCGACCTGCCGTACTACAAGCTGGTGCCCTTCATCACGGAGCGTCTAGAGCTGGAGCTGGACTTTGAGAACGAGGCGCGCAATTCGGAGACGATGCGGTCGCTCATCGAGTCGGAGAAGAAGCTCAGGGGACGGGTGTACATCCCGACGGTGTATCCGGAGCTGTCGTCCAAGCGCGTGCTGACGACGGAGTGGATCGAGGGGGTGCGGCTGTGGGACAAGAAGGGCATGACGGGCGTGTGGCTGGGCGGCCACGGCAGCGGCTCGCCGGGGGCGGGCGCGCCTCTTCCGCCCATGGACGTCGACGCGGCGCGGCGGGAGCTGCGGACGCGACCGGGCGGGAGCGAGCGGAGGATCAAGCCGGAGCGGCAGGAGTGGCGGGGGCGGCGCGGCAAGGGGGGTCTGGGGATACCGGCGCGCGAGACGATGACGACCATGGTGGACCTGTTCTCGGCGCAGATCTTCAAGTGGGGGGTGGTGCACTGCGACCCGCACCCGGGCAACATGTTCGTGCGGCGGCTCCCGTCCGGGCGGGGCCAGCTGGTGCTGATCGACCACGGGCTGTACATCTACCTCGGGGACGAGTTCCGGCGGCAGTACGGCGCCTTCTGGAAGGCCCTGCTGACCATGGACAACGGCGCGATGGCGGACATCGCGTCGGGCTGGGGCATCCGGGCGACGGGCCTGTTCGCCAGCGCGACGCTGATGAGGCCGTACGGCGGCGGCGGGGACAGCGGCCCGGCCAGCGGCAGGCTCGACGCCGGCACCGAGGGCATGACCACGGCCGAGAGGCACTTCGCCATGCAGCAGCGCATGAGGCAGGCCGTGCGCGACATGCTGGCCGACGAGGACAAGTGGCCAAAGGAGCTCGTCTTCCTCGGCAGGAACATGCGCATCGTCCAGGGCAACAACCAGTTCCTCGGATCGCCGGTGAACCGCGTCAAGATGATGGGCCAGTGGGCCAGCAGGAGCCTCTACGAGGACCCGGACATGCCCATGGCCCCCCGGTTCGCAAACGCCCTCCGGCACGTGCTCTTCTCGCTCGTCATGGTGGCCACCGACCTGGCCTTTTACTTTTACAAGATCCGCCAGTTCCTGGGCCGCGGCGCCGGAAAGGGTATGGAAGACGTCATGGAGGATCACCTGAAGAGCATGGCGTCCGAGTATGGCATCGAATTGCAGGAGGCCTTGTTTGACGGTTAGCTCTGCAGGGGCGGCGAGCCTACTCCGTACGCTGCCTCTGTCACCCTCTCTCCGTCTTCCCCAGCTGGCAGGATTCTTTATAGAAATAACATGTACTCTGTAAAAAAGAATAAATAAATAGATTCTTCCTTTCTTCTTTCTTTTACAAAGCTCCCCCCCACCCCCCCCCTTTTATTTTTCAAAATTTTTTTCAAATTTTTTTTCTTTTCTTTCAGTCTTTTTTCGCTTTCCTTTCTTGTGCTCTTTTGGGAGTTGGGGATGTAGGGACGGATTGAATAGGGTATTGTTGATTCATTATTATGATTATGATTATTATTGAAAGAAGAAGCAAGGCTTGATCTATCTCGTCATCAAGCTCATGTCGCTTTCTATCTGTGATTTGACAGATCTGTGCCCATATCAGTTCTACTGGAAGACGGCAACTATGGATATCATAATACGTGCAACGGTTACTAAGCATTCATATATACGGTATATCCAGGTAGCTATCCTCGTAGATTTACCCATAGCCTAAAGGCTAATATAGTATTATAGAGACCTTTTTAATAGTTATATATACCCATACATGTGCATGTATACCTTTTCTGCCTCTACTCCGTATTGCTGAACTCATCTATCACATGTACCGAAGAAAAAAAGCCCAACCGTCAAGCGACATGGGTAGATGATGGATCAACATGATTGGTATAGAAACGTTCACGACAGCAGAGTACTCGTACGGAGTGTATCTGTAAATACTAAAACATGCAGGACGGAGAATCCACTCTATGGCTATGCGAAAGAGTCTGTGGGGGGGGGGGGGGGGGGGKGGSGTGAAGATTGAACTGGGCGGGTAGTCCCGGGTTCGGTGGACAATAGGGATAATGGGGCAGTGGACAGAGTATGTACGGGTCCTCGTACTGACCAGATACACGGTGCATATGCAGGTACGAGTGTTGATGCCTCCGCTCGACGGCAAAACGGTCAGCGGGCTGTAAGGAATCAGCATTCCAGCATCTGCTTCGCTGCATGTACAGGAGTAATAGCGGATAACGAATACTACCAGTACTCCGTACTCCGTAGTAGTACGATGGTTGAAACGAAACTAGCCACGTGAAAGATGGGTAACGTCAGGCTGGTAAATCAGAGACATGACCCCACCCGACGATGGGGACCCATCTTACGAGACGCAAGATTGATGAAGTGAGGGAAGCAGGGGAGATTGAGAAGACGAGTCGAGGGGGGGGAGAGGAGAAGAGGG